CCATATTTTTTTCCATTTGCAGTATGGGATTTGGAAAGTGAGAACTATTAATTGAAATTTGTAGCTCTTTCTACAAAGTACTAGATCCTTCTAAATCAGACACTATTGCCTTCACTTCTACTCCAGATGATTGAATATGTCTTATGAGTGAAAAAAGAAGTTCTTTCTCCATTGCAGTGTTAAAATAAAAAAAAAAATATATTGTTTGTTTCCACAGCGAAATGAGACCTCTAATTAAAACAAACTGCACTTGAAAAGGACGAAGAATTGATTCAGTTTAAAGTCATAGAGTTTAGAGTTTAGAATCTATATGCATTTCGTCAAAACTGAGAATGCATATTTTTTCTACAGAATTCAAATATTTGCATCCTTTTTTCATTACAGCAAGAACATTACTCTTCCAATTCCCAATTTTTCTTTCCAAAAATCCTAGCTTTTAGATGACAGAGCTCTAATGACAATGCAGCATGAAATATCTTCAATAGTCCACCTGATTTTTTCCTCCTTTTCTAGCAATGCATTAATATGTGTCTTTGTAAAAATATGCTATAGACGTTTTTCCAAATGTTCCGGTCTGTACTTTTTTCCCTAAATTTTGCTATTTGATATTTTAATTTCTGATACAAATTTCTGTCTAGGTGTCCTCCACCTTCTTTGTTACTGAGCAAACATTTAAAAATTTTTCTTTTCTCTATTTTTCAACATTTTACAGTACAAAGTCTGTAATCCGGACGTCCATTATCTGGAATGATCCAGACCTCAAAGCCGCAAACTTTTTTTGTATGCTTTACGCATGCGTGTTTAGCACAAAAAACAAAGCAACTTAAACAACTTACATTGAAAGAAACGTTAAATAAAGTAAACAAATAAATATTAAGCTTTTTTTTTTTTTTTTTTTTTTGTAAATTTTGATACCCTTTAGATCATAATAGTTCTTTCATAAATTACGGTTTCATAATTTTAATTATATAATTTCTGCATGCCATCTTACCAGATTTAAATTGATGAATTATAATCCGGAAAAACCCTTAGTCTGGAATCGCCGAAGTCCCAATGAGTCCGGATTACGGACTTTGTACTGTATTACAATTTTCTAAGGATATTATCATGTTTTTCAAATTATCAATGCATTCTTGTTTATCTTTACACTTAGAGCATTCAGGGATATTTTCATTATCATTTCTGAATTTTATTTCAAAATCATTCATGTTTGATTTATTATTGTAATCATTAGTTTCGTTTTTGGCTTCAAGATGAGTTCTCTTTGGGCTTAATTCATGTAGTCTTTCAAAAGCACACAGCATTAGTTTTCTTTTCACTTGTCTCCAATTTCTTGGTGTTGTTTGTTTCAATGGTGTTGTTTCATTTACTGCACACAATAAACTTACTTTCGGTATAGCATTGCATTTCAACAGTTTCTTTTGTGGCAATCCAAGCAAGCGATTTTTCGTGTCATCTTCATGATCACTGCACAGAAAATATCCGCTGCAAATTCTTGTGTTTTTCACATTAATCAAATCCTGTCTTCGACATTTATGTATCCATTCTTTCGTCCTTTGGGAAAGCATGAAATACAATATCTCTTCCTTTTGTATTTCTATAAATGTTACAGCACATTTCTACAGTGCAAGAAGACATATTACATAAACAATACTTTACAGTATAGATTTTAACCTTTTCGCGACAGCGCACCTTTGTTTAAGACACTCGTGCAGGACGGAAGGGAATCGAAGGCCACCGTACAGGACAGAGGTTTTGCATCGCTAAGCCTAATTTTATAAAAAAAAATCAGAGAAACAAAAGTTTCGCTTCTAGCATCGTAATTTTTGGTATCATTTTAGATTATTACTTGACCTCTTATATATGTTAAAATTAGCCCTTAAAACATTTTTTTCTTTATTTTACATGAAAATATACTTAAAAAATTGCTTATCTTCTAAAATAATTTTCGGAAGCGCTATTCAAATTATTCCAAAGTTTTAATTGCTAAAATCCATCAATAAAGTTTAAAATTAATAAAAAGAACACAATAAAGACTATTTACAGTAAGAAGTAACAAAATTAAAAATGAAAACGAGTGTGGTAAATCTCGAAGCACGGAGAAATATCACTTTGTAACTCTTAGAAAAAAGTATCACTTTTTAACTCTTTAGTATTATCATTTGCATTAGTAAATGGTTCACTAACCATACTAGGGTATTCTTTCTCTGATTCAGATCTTTACTGATGCGTGGATGGGACGCCCTGCTGTAAGAGACGTTCTTAGGGAATGCATATATGGGACACCCATCCTGAAAGGGTTAAAAGGAAAACTGACTAAAACTATATACAGTCAAAATTCGTTAATCCGGACTCGTAGGGACTTCGGCAATTCCGGATTATAGATCATCAGTTTAAATCTGGTAAGATGGCATGCAGAAATTATAAAATTAAAAATATGAAACTGTAATTTATGAAATAAAGAACAATTATGATCTAAAGGGTATCAAAATTTATATAAAAAAAGCTTAATATTTATTTGTTTACTATATTAAACATTTCTTTCAATGTAAGTTGTTTAAGTTGCTTCGTTTTATGTGATAATACTTTCTCTTTAATTTTATAAACAGACATAATTTCTTCTTGAGTTACAAAGTTCTGCTGTTCAAGTCCTATAATTGCTGTGTCGAGAATACCGACTAATTTGTCAATTGAAATTTTTCCTTTTCAATAACCTCTTTGTCACTTTCTTCACTATCGGAAGCAAATTATAATGACGAGGAATTTGATTTAAATCATATCAAAGACGAAGTACATCGAGATGAAATACTACATTTAGTAAGGAATTTTAAGCCAAATAAAATAAAAACATCTGCCTTGAAGATAAGGATAGTGCTGACAGATCAACTTCCAATTCATTGCACGCCGCCGCATCCCCCCCACCGCAGAGCAGCGTGAAATGGATAAACCAGGTTTCAGAATGGTTAGAGAAACGAAGGATATGCATTTATCCATTTTTTGCAGCAATTTCACTTTTTGTTTAATGGACTTTGAAACATACTTTCGCTTTGTAGATCCTTTACATATTAGTAAATATATATCGGAAATTCTATTTGACATAATCGAAAGTTCAAGCTTACATTTTATAAAATTGCTCTAACAGTCTTAAAAAAATAATAAGCCGGATCCAATTAGAAGATTAAAGTACAACGCAGTCTGCAATATTAACTGAAATAGATAATTAGATAATTTTAGCTTAGCTTATACTGTCCATTATACATGAAACGCGCATCCGTAAACGTATTATGTGCATGCGCACATGCATATTCGCAGCCGTAAAGGTCTTATGCGCATGTGCAGAAAGTTTGTAGCTTTGAGGTCCGGATTATAGAACATTCCGGATTATGGGTGTCCGAATTAACGACTTTTGACTGTATATACAAATTATTTTAAATATTTACATTATTAGAAAACAAATATATATGATTAAAATTAATTTGGTATATGCAATCTCTAGAAAATCGTCTCGCAACTGAATAAAACTACAGTTTTAACTGTGCGAAATCAGAGCAGGTGCAGCACAGACATACCAGATTACTTCCAGTTAACTTCCTCCATGAGGCTTGCATCGGCAAGGAGTCGAACAAATGAATGAACCAACTCTTTCAATTTATGGGGGGGGGTGGATCTGAGGGTCTCCCTCCCCTCTTCCCTTCAGCCAAACCACATGAGAGGACTTTAGGCTTGCCGCATATTTAGAATGCTGCTATGCCGCACTAACACTATACATTTACAAATATCCATGCTTTCTCCGGGATTCAAACCTAGGTCCTTCATCATGGCAGTCAGCGATGCCTTATCCACTATACTAATTTGGGCGGCTAATTTCTTTTGGTACCACTTGCAGCAATCACTATGCATTGTTGAACTCACTATCAATAACTATGCATTCACAATGCAATCACTATGCCTTGTTCTAGATAACTAACGATAATTTCTAATTAAAATATTATTATTTAATAATATTTTAATTAGAAACTACAATCTGAAAGCACTCTCTGGTTTCTCAGCACATATTCCTGAATATCAACTATTTAGGGAAGATCCTATTAGCATTGTGTTTCCTGAGACTGTTATCGATTTCAGCAATTTTATTAGATGTTTCAATTAGTCCTTAACAAGTCTAAGCATATTTGCACATAAAAGAACATTCTAATCAGTGAGTGGATTTTTACAAACATTAAATTGTTTTGCACACCAAATAGTTGCTGTCATTTCTTTTGACTAACAGCAAATAAAATGTTTTGCAGTCAGAAAAAGGCATTTTTTAACCTAATAGCCAGTTTCCATCACTGATGGTCATTTTTTTTGGCTTTAATTAATATGTTTTTAGATGAAATAGAAATTAAAAAAAGTAGATGGAATATTACATGTAACAAAGAATTGAGCGCAACACATTAACACATAATGAAGTGAAGACCCATCTGAAAAAAACATGCATAGAAATTGAAGGTTGCTATGTTAGAGATTCGTAAAGTTACCATCACGAGTGATTTATCATGGTTTCCTCAAGTTCTACAAACATACAGTTTTATTTATTGAAGCAGTGGTTTCTAAACTTTTATTTTCTCAACATCTATAGGAAATACTTCAGCAGTGTTTGCATTCTATGGAGACTCCAACATTAATTCTACGGTGTATATTTACCACAAAATATACATAATTATTCATTACACTAATCAAACACTAACCAGACTTTGTTTAAGTTTCCTTGAAATTTTATCTTGTATTATTGCCAAATACAGTTTTTGCCAAATTATGTGGCACAACATAATTTAAGTATTTTTATGCTATAACTATTCATCTTTCCAATTATCTGGCTTAATGGTAGCAAACAGCTTAACCACAAATTCATGCAATTTTATGTGGCAATTCATCTTTCTGAGTGATATTTGTTAAGGATTTATTTATGATTTTTTTTAACATTTTGATTTAAAAAAATAATTCTTGTGCTGTTATAGTTGAGCTATCACCTTTGTTTCCTGAAACTCTAATTCTTGGGCTGGAAATTCGTGTCAAAGTGTCCGATTATGTTCAAGAAAGAATTAAAGCTTTGAGACTGCAGAATCCTGGGAAATATGAAAATATAGCCTGTATACGTTCAAATGCTATGAAATACTTGCCAAATTTTTTCAGGAAAGGACAGGTAAGAAATATATTTCATAAGATAATATTTATGTAATTTTACATATTTAGAGCATTACTTTATATGAGCATTTAGATGTGTTGATTTATAGCATAGCCCTCAAATTCTTATGTTTGGTAGCATACTTTTTAACATCTATTTTATTTATTTATATTTTGTTATATTTATTTATGTATAGTTTAATATTAACATGTTTCTTGGCAAGAATAGATAGAACTTTTTGTTTGTTATATATATTTTACATCTTATGGATGTTTTAGATTTTCCAGAAATTTCAGTTGATAGTTTACAGATTTTCTCTAAAATATTCATTTTTAAATATATACAATTTTTGCCAAAAAATAACATAATTTCATTTTTTAACAAGAATGACAAAACTGTAAGGAAAAATGTTGAAACTGCATTTCATTTGCTTATGATATCTGAAATAGGGGTACTTTTCCATTTCGCCAGCACAAATCTCACCAAGCAGACTTTATTGGCGATAACATACAGTATACACATAAAAAAATGTTAGCAAATGTTAGTTCTAAGAATTTTTTATTTTGAAGGCATAAACATTTTAATATCGTTCAAAATTTTGTAAAAGACATTAAGAATTTATTATGCTTTTATGGTTCAACAAGCTGATTCTCCGGTTCATATCACGTGACCCCAAGTGATCTCATCTCACGAAAACTTCGCTACAAAAATCTAATTCTCTCAGTAATTATCTACATTAATTTCAAGTTAAATCTTAATTTGGAATGTAAGTTTAAATGCAAGAATTATTTCAATTCGTACGAATAGCTTATTCAGAAATTATGTGAAACCACAGTGCTTTACTTCGCTAGTGCATTCTCATTAGAATTGATTAATTTAACCCTTGACTTTGCCTTTTCTATATTTTTGCCTTCAGGTAAGTGGTGTGATTGCATTCTAATTGACTTAATTACTGCAAATGGCCTTAGGGCATAAAATTGATAATAATCGGATAAAAATTCTATGTAATTGTATGCCAGTATGGAAAGAAATAATCAATCTGCTAAGAAATGGCTGCAACTTTTTGAAAATGAGGTGTAAAAGGTTACCAGTGAGGATATTCCGTTTAGCATTAGTTGTACCATTATTGGTGACTTTATTGGTTGCGCCGGCAAAACGGAAAAGTACCGAAATAGGTTTATAATGGTATCATATTTAATTTAAAGTAAAATACAAATTTGTTATTATTCTCTTGAATTAGTTAAAATGATGTTTATGAGTTAATTGAAACAGATTTCAATATTTGAGGAAAATTTGAGCGAAATTTTATTCATTATATAAATGAATAGCAAATCATAGTGAAAAGAATACAAATGAAATGTTTCATATTTGAATGTGTTAAAAATATTTTTTGTTTTCTTGAGCATAAATATTTTTTTTTTTTTTTTTTTTTTTTTTGATGATTGAAAATATCAAAGCAAAGGCTTAAAATATTGCTGCTAATTTTAGTTGCTAAGTCACTAATCTTCTGTATTGGAAGTCTCCACATTTATAGAGTAACTGACATATCAGATTTTTTATTTTCCATTTAAACTAGTTTTTTTTTTCCCTCTGAAATTTCCTGTCTTCCTTCACTTTTTGATAGATTTTGCTCACATGTACATAATCTTCAAGTTGAGTTCCTGTATTTGAGAACATTAAATTTATCAAATTTTATTGTTCAGATCATGATTTGTTGTCATAGTCTGAACTTTTCCACCACTTACGAGGGGTTATCAGAATAAATCGGCTTAAAATAAATTAAGCTATTTATTTATTCTTTTTTATTTACTATTTGTTGTATATAGTCTTTTTGTGTTCATTTGGCATGGTCGAAGTGGTTTTCATGTTTCAGAAGCACTTTAGAAATCACTTTTTTTAAATTGGGAAGCATGCTTGCAGTTCACATTGAATGTCAGATACATTTGCAAGATATCAACTTTCTAGTTTCATTTTCAGTCTGAAAAACAAAGCAAAAGCACAATTGAGCTAAGCAAAAACATAGGATAAGCTGTGAATGGTAATGATGTGGTGATTTGCCAAAAAATTGTTTAGTGTTCAGGGATATGTTAGGTGGGACTAGAAAGTTAACTGTAATAGTGCAGCACAGACTCAAATTTTCTGTTAAAAATCTTTTAGAAAATTTTGTAGCATTATCTGATTGAAAGTATCATCACCCAAATCTATATGAAACTTATGAAAGGTTTGAGTAACAAGTTTACCAAATTTTACATGACCATTAATCTGAACATGTTTTGCTATCCACTATAAAATGACAGATAAATCAATGCGAAAAGTTGAAAAGAAACTCTTCAACTCTCTTCTTAAAATGTTTTACTCTGATATTGTGACATTAAGTGATATAATGATGCATTAGAATTGTGAAATTATAATATTGACTTTTTTTTTTTTTTTTTTTTTTGTTTAACCTTTTCCTGGGGGTTGGGATATGTATGTCCCATGCATTCACTACATTAAATAAAGCTCAAAGAAATTAAGTTTGCTATGGAGATCTAAAATGTGCTACTTGATACAAAGCAGGAAATAGCAGATCCTGTTATTTGTTTTTCTGCTCCTTGCAGATTGAATAATTGACTAAATGAGATCAATATATAAAACATTTATATCTATAGCCATCAGGGAAAGGTTAACATAGCACTTGCAGCAATAATAATCTGGGTACTTTCTGATAGATTCTCATGTTTATTTGAATGTTGGAAAAGCGGAATGAGATCAGTTTTCTCAGATTACTCTTAAATAGAAAAAAGGGTTTCTTATAAAGTTAAATGTTTCTGTTAAGATATTTTAATTGTTGATTAAAACTTTTACAGATTAAAATCAGTACCATCCACAAAAATGTATAAAATTCATGTTTATATGTTCATTAAGTGATATAATGATGCATTAGAATTGTGAAATTATAATATTGACCTTTTTTATCATGTTATAATATCATGTTTATAAGAAAATTTAAGCAAGTAGTGATGAATAAAGATTATGAATATTATAAGATAATATAAAGATTATACATAATCATGGTTTTAGTTGATAATATGGATTTTAGTTATTCATTTATTAAGGGGAAAAAAGAAAATGATTATGGCTATGATTTAAAATTTATTATTTTAAAATAATGAAAAATATGATTTGTATGCTTACTTATCATATTTATTTCACATATTCCCACACATTTTTATTAATTTTACTGTTCGAAAATTGAGAGGGGGAAGTTATGTAAATATTTTAATTCAAAGACGTAGTTACTGTAAGCTCATAACTAATAAAAAGTATTCATGAATAAACTACCAGTAACTATCACAATTTTTTAAAACTACATTCCAGTAAGAATATATAGTAATATTAATATTGCAATGTCTAATAAGATATCTTCATTTCTACTTTCCTGTATCTTCAATTTCGTCCATTCTTATTGTCCCTAGGCACAAATTATTCAGTGATGCTGGAGCTGCTGTGTCTTTTGTTACAGCTTGTAAGTCATCATCATTGTTATTGTCTTTGTGACACTATAGTCTGTTTTCCTACATGGAATGTCCTTCATTATCATCCTGAGCATTATATTTTCCTTTTTTCTAGAATTCTTTGTTATACTTGCTTCATCAATCAAATCCCATGCACCCAGAATACACCAGCAAATCTGTTGCCAGTCTTTATCTGAATTTCATTCATTTACTCAATTCTCCAATGTAAAAAAGAAGAATAAGTGATCAAAATAAAGCAGGCAATCCACCTAAGTAATTAAATAAAACAGGCAGTCCATCTTAGTACGAAAAAAATGCCACATCTGCACTATTTTTCTTAATATTCTAAGCATAAAACTGTAGTGTTGCCAAAGCATGAAAAATAACTGCTGTGAAAATGCACTTTTTCTTAAAGTGCATTTTCACAGCTGTTGAATTGTATATGACAAAATCATTTAGTACAATGAAAACAATCATTGCATGGAAGAAACTATTTTAAAATTTAGGGAAACTTAGGTTTCTGAGCATCTTAAGGAAGGGGAAAATTACAGGAATATTTGAAAATATTCAAAACATTGTGCTGAAAAGATAGGCAGGGGGATATGTGAGTAAATATGGTATTCATCTGTTCTTAATCAATTAAAATTGTGTGAATACACCACATTAAATTATCATTTAAAAAAAAATTAAAGCATTGTTTGAAATTTAATAGAAAAATCAAGTGTATACAAGCCAGTTTCCCTTTGAAAGCTCTCCACAAAGCCATCCCTCGTATTAGGCAGAGAGCCCTCAAGGCTTTGGCGTAATCAAATAAACCTAAACATCTGAATGTGTAAGAATTGTACTACCAAAAACAGTGGCGTGGCTAGGGTGAGGCAAAGGGGGACATCTGTCCCCGTGTGCAGCATCCAGGCAGTGCCAAATTGATGCTACGAAATTCTTTAATGAAATGTTTTCCATTCTTATCACACAGAAAGGGATGCGAATTCTTCAGTTATCCGGGGGTACTGGAATCCTAGCTACGCCACTCAATAATAACAATAATGTAATGTAGTGGTTTAGAAACCCAGATGTAGAAAAAGTGTTGATTGACATTGAAATGAATTTAAAGATAAAATGCCTTGTACCTTAAAATAATGGTAAGAACAAGATTATTCTTCTGAATATACTTATTACTGAGAGAAATGGGAATTTTTTCTTTGAATGTCAAACACAAATCTAAGTAATATGCTTCCAAAGTAACTTACATACTCGTTTCAATGTAAACCTTAAATAATATTAGTACATATGTTACTAGCAGTGTATGAGAGCTGACATTCTATAGAATATACCTAGGCATTTTATAGAATGCTGAAAACTGGCTGATAATATATGAAATGTTTAGCAATTTAGGCATTTTCTAGGCATCCATAATTCCGTGCATTTCATACATTTTGATGTATTATTTTGTTTAATAAGAACGGCATAAGGACACATACGTACTATTGCTACCATCGTAGTAGAAGTAGACAAATTTTCAGAAAGTGCCCAACTTCAGCAACCATGTGCGAAACCATTCTTCTGGCAACCATACTTATAACAATCATCAGTCAAGCAACGCCGCCATTTTCGTATGTGTTCTATTTTGTTGCATTCCAAGTTCCAATGTTTTTTATACAGACTGTGGTATATTTTACCTTAAACTTAGAGTTTTAAAACATGAGCTCATGGAATTCACCAGCAATGGAAGGAACTATGTTAAAATTTTGGTAGTAATACAGAATTTTACAGAAAAGTTGCTGAAGGGAACAACAAGGAAATGTGTTTTCTAGATAGCAACTGTTGCTAAGGATTGCATGAAGCCAAGTCTCCACAATTCTCTGATATTTAAGTGAAAACAGTTCACTGTGTATTTTGGGAGAAGAATAACATAAAAGAAAAAAAACTACAGATGGGTTCGAAGAAGAATGTAATTTTTTATTTTTTAATATATGGCATAATCTTTATTTAATAATTCAAATGTGTATTTTAAATTGCTAAGATATGTTTTCTTTTCCTATGTTGATATTGTTTAACAAACTTCCTATAAATATTGATAGTTTGGGAATCTTTTAGAAAAAGAAGTCATGAAAACCACCAACTTGCATGTGATAAATAACTTTTACAGTTTTATCTGTAAAAAATTGCCAAATTGCACCAAGATACCAAACTGGAGTAGTACTTAAGTACTGGCATAAGTTTTGTTTTATACAAGTTTATTTTTTCTTTACATATTTTGAATAAAAGTTGTTTAATGGCACTCTTTTATTATTTTTTCAAAATAACATTTGTAATTTTAAGAATTCACACCTTTTAAATGATAGCTTTATCATGACCATTTTTCATACTTTGCTTATTTAACATTTGTCGTTCTATAGAATTCCAAGGTATCATGTATAAGGGCGAGTCAAATGAAAGTGAGCCAATGTGAATATATGACAAACAGAGTACTTTATTTAAAGGTAGTCTCCATGAACATTGAGACATTTATCCCATTGACAAATGAGCCGCGTGATCCTCGTCTCATAAAACTCCTTGGGCTGTCGATTCAAAAATTCTGTAACCGACTCCTTCACGGCGGCGTCCGACACGAATCTAGTACCCTTGAGATGTTTTTTCAGTTTCCCGAAAATGTGAAAGTCGCATGGCGACAAATCTGGTCTGTATGGAGGATGTTACAGCGTGTCCCACTTGAACTTTGCCAGTTGTGTCTTAACCACATCAGCGACGTGGGGACGAGCATTGTCGTGTAGCAAGATCACACCATTCGTCAATCTTCCAGGTCGTTTGTTCTTGATTGCGACACGCAGCCGATCCAGCGTTGCACAATATCGCGAACTATTAATAGTCTCTCCACGTTTAGCAATTCAATCAGTAATGGCCCCGACGATCGAAAAAAAAGTCAATAGCACCTTTCCCGAGGAAATGACAGCCTTTGCTTTCTTCGGGGGTGGTGAATTCAAATGTTTCCTCTGTAAGCTTTGCCGCCGTGTTTCAGGTTCGTAGTGGTGGCACCATGATTCGTCTCTGGTCACAATTGCAGACAAGAAGTCGTCACCCTCATTGTGATACTGGATGAGATGAGTCAAAGCAGCGCCGAACCTCTCCGTCTTCTGGCGGTCGTTCAAAATCTTGGGCATCCATTAAGCACACAAAAGCCGATAACCGAGATGATCATGAATTATGGTGTGAACCGAACCGTGACTGATGTTCACACGCTCTGCCAGTTCATCGATGCTTATCCTCCGTTCTTGTCTAATCAGCTCATCAACCTGTGCAATTGTGTCGGGGGTGATTGCAAGGTGGCTTTGGCCCGGTCTTGGATCGTCTTTGCAACTTTCACGTCCTTCTCTGAACCGTTTGCTCCAATGCTTCACAGTGGCCAATGCGATGCAATGTTCACCGTACACAGCAGTCATACAGCAACTAATTTCATGTTGGGAAACACCTTCAGCTGTCAAAAACCTGACCACACCACGCTGTTCCTCTTTTGGAGCGTCTATTATGTCACGCTACCGTCTTCAACCCAGTGTAAGAGCGCCTTAAAGAACTTTAACCTCACACTTTCGTGCCACTTTCGTAAATGAAGGCTGTCTCTGTGCATGCGCCGCAGATGATGGACTGAACCATTCTTGCTGAGGAGGGGTTGGCTCACTTTCATTTGACTCGCCCTTATACAATGTGTAGGGAAAGTATATAATTATTCTCATATTTCATGCTTTGCCTAAAAGCGACAGGCATTCTACAAAATGGTTTGGTATTTTATAGAATGCCAGAATTTCATACATTGCTTGTAACTCATATGCTAAGTATATAGAATGTGGGAATTATCTCACTCCACTTTGTTGAGTTTTGCTTTACATGAAAATTTCCAGTGTATTTATCCTTTGAACTGTTCAGAAGTGAAAACTTGTTTTTCTAGAAAAAGTAATCTTTAAATATGTTTTTAACATTTTTTTGTTAATAAGTGAGAATATATGAAGTTTATAGATAGATTTAATGTGTGAATATTTCTTTAGTGCTTGAAACTTCTAGTTTCTCATTATCAATGTGTTAATATTTCTTGCAGCTTAGTAAGATGTTTTTCTTATTTCCTGATCCTCATTTTAAAGCCAAAAAACACAAGTGGAGAATCATCAGCCCTCAACTGCTATCGGAGTATGCATACTTACTTCGTATTGGAGTGAGTATTATAAGTAACATTGTGACCCTTTTTTCTGTATTTATTTTACAAAATGTGGTTAAGAAAACTCTTTTATTGTTTATATAGTTGGAAGTAAATTCCAATGGCACATGAAGCCATAAGTTGTGATGGACCAGTATGATGACACATAATAATGGCCTGTTATTGTAGTGCTGCCGAACTTGGATATGATCATTGTGATGCAGCAGAGTTGGGATTCGTCTGGGGATAAAAAAATTGTCATGCCATTCATTTTTACATGCTGCGTGGTGAACATTTAGGGTTTAGCATTCAGAAATGATTACAGCTCTATGTGCTTGTGGTTTAGAGACTGTCGTCATTGCAGCAACAGACAACTTGCAAAGATTTTGTAGACAACATCGAATAGTATGTGTTGATACCGGTTGATATGCAACTGTTCCCTAATTCTTATATTAAGTTTCTGGATGTTGCTGTGTTATCCTTCATTGCCATGCCACAACATGCCCTCTTGTTGAGTAATATGACGAAGATAGTGCAATGATTCCATGTCAGTCTGTTTTCCTGAACTCACTGATTCCATATTTTCGTTACTGTGACTCGATTACACCCAACACAAGCACTGATTTCTTGAAAGGTAGGCCCTCAGTTTTTGTAATCTGCGGTTCTTCCTCTGTCATATTCAGAAAACTACTTGAATGAGTGTTGCTTTTTATCAGCTTGGTAAACTAAAGCTTCCCATATAGACAGCAGGTAAACACACAAATACAGTACTTAAAAACAGCCTACTGTTATTTTTTTTAAATGCTTCTAGATGGTATTGTTGGTGCAAATGATATACATAAGTTATGTAATGCTAATTGTATGCATGCCTTGTCAAGATCTATGCATAGCACAAATGTCAACCCTAATAAATGCTTCCTTTATGGTGTTGTATATATTTTGGATGACCAGCAATGCAAAGTTGTATTTTAATATGATCTCTACAAAAGCAAGTTTATGTATATCTTTTTTTTTTTTTTTCCCTCTGATAGCACTAATATGGAAAAGATAAGGTATAGTTGTAATATTTATTGATTAGAAAAGTAAGTAACTGTAATCACCATTCATTTAAAGATAAACATTGTAAGATTCTCACTAGTGTATTTCTCAGTTACTGTAGAAAGTGACGAATCTTAAGAACTTGTTAGCAAATAATCACTTAAGTTCGTGTATTAAGAAACAACAAGGTGGAAGGATAACTAACCCTTTATTATTCCAATAAGATTTAACAAAACTCTGTTTTGGAGTGTACAATAAAAGCCAACACTTGGGCTTGAACTTAAGAGACTAAAAATTAAACTAAAACTGTGATTAACTAAAGAGATATAGCTGAAGCTATCAAGATTCTAACCGAGTTGGCCCCTTAACTCTATTTGACTACTCAGCTTATCAAGAGCCTGAGTATAGCTGAGCGTAATAGCAGCTTTGAGAGAGAGAGAGTAGCCATAAAATAAACGCTCCTCCTCATTAAGTATTCAGAGTGATTCTAAAACTATGTTCTGGCTGGAAGTAGTTTGAAGTTGAAGTTAAGAATTTGACAGGAAGGAACTTAAAATTTAACTGTTAATAAAATTAACATAATTCTTACAACATAAAATTGCAACATTTTTTGGTAAAGGCTTTCATTAACGATAAAAATTATTATTTACCCTAATATAAATTCTTATTATATGATGAAAGAATTATATGGACTGTACATTTTAAAAATTTCAGTTGTAATGAATAATTATGTAATATTTTTCTAAACAAAATTTTATTGTTCTGAATTTTAAAAATATTTTCATTGATTTTTGGGCCCCTTTTTGGAACCTTTTTTTCCAAAACATTTTGTGAATTAGGTATCCAAAAAAGCACAGATTCTAAAGTAAGCCTTATTTTACCTGATTAGATTTCTCAGACTACTTGTTATTAGTTAAAGGCTTTAGTAAAATTTTATTTTTCAGTTGCTTTATTTTAACATTATATTCATCTATTTGAATGCATGTTTTAAAGAATGTACTTTTCATTTTAGGGCATTGTGTATACTATAACAGATGTAAAAGAATTATATGACTGGATGGTGGAGCATTTAGATGAGCATCCACTTTTCAAAAGGCTTAATGATGATGAATTAGTAAGTTTGTATTTTTTTAACTTCTCTTTAGAAAGTTTTGTTATAATCTAATTCTAAATTTACATTGTAAATGTATGAACGATTAGATCTAATTAAGTATTCCTAGCTGATTATAGCTAGATTGCTAACAACATTAATTTGAAATGAGGTTTTTAATATAAGCAAAAATTTAAAGCAATAGTTATAATTTTATTATAAAGTTAAATCTTTATAATTTTGTTATAAAGATTTATATTAAAGGGTCTTATGTATTATTTCATTGATCATGAAACTTTTGCCAAGCAGCATGATTTATTGCCAGTTCTGAATAAGTAGACATTACAAGACATTCACAACACTGTGATTTTGATTGATTTTTGATATGCCACCATTGTTTTTATGAGTATGGATATTAGTTAAGTATTATTGTTGTATTTTTTCTTGCATATTGAAAATATGAGTTCAAGGGCTGTAGGACCACATTTATGACTGTACTCTGGTTCACTTATGGCTGACAGAGAGAATTAACATGTATTCAATGAAAAAAGTGTAGCTGAATATAGCAAGCAAAACAGTAATGGATTGGAACAATCACCTGGGGGAAGATTGTACTCACAGCATTCTAAACAAAGCTTCTGAAAAAATCAGATTACTAAAAATAATAGAAATTGACAAAAGCCTTTTTACAAAGTACAAAACTGAAGTGAGTCGAATACTTCCACAGTAGTGGCTATTTGGTGGATTGTGTGGAGTGACTGACAAATGATTTATTGTACAGATTTTAGATAGAAGTGCAGATCAGGATTCCTGAGGAATGAAAGGTGCCACTTTAGTGGGATCTCTGGTAGCCTTTATAATTAGATGGCAGCCAACATTCAAGGCTGGCAAGATAATGCATAAGTATCATTATATATTTATGACATGAAATATGTTTGAATAAGATAAGAGAAGTAAAAAGAAGGGCATCTATAGCTCTAAAAAAATCCATATTACAACAAAGAGTCCATTGTGTTTCTAAAATGCATTTATAACAAAGCATTTATTACTTGCTTGCAATATGTGAGCAGGTGAAGATTTTTTAACTGTGGCTGTCGGAATTCTCATTCTTCCATATAGGAACTCAGATATCAACAAAGACAACACCAGTTTCACTGCATCTAGTATATAGGATATGATTAATAGCCACACAGTCTTCAGTACCAAGATCTATGGCCAATCTCTCTTAAATAGTAATTAAATTTCATGGCATCATTTTTTTAGTCCTGTGGCATATAGGAAATTTAACTTTCCAACAGTTGGCAGTAGTCGATAAAACAAGAGTAGTTGACGTTAACTGGTAGCGAGCGACACAAAACAGAAGTCATGTCTAGTAGAGGAAAATGTTTTACTTCAGTGAAACATTGCTACGGCAATTCTGGCTTACAGTTCCCCTCCCCCAGATATAATGAATTAACTTTTTGATCCTTTCCACTTTCGTACAGATTTAATGTTATTTTACATGGCTGTAGTGAACTTTGAAGTGTAAAAAAATCAGATAAAACAAACTTTATCCAGGACTGAAAATGTTTTGTATACTGATGGAAAATAAAATCCCACTACCAAGAAGGAGCTGTGCTAGAGGTGTGTTTGCACATCTTAAAGGTGATTCTCCATATAAGGCTTAGGCGACACAGCCGCTTGGAAGCAGGCACTTAGACAGAAAGTCTCATTCTGTGTGTAAAAAGTAAGAAATTGCATAGTGATTAAGTGTCCATATCATAGATGTTAACTTAAACCTAAACTCGTAAACTGTACCACCAATACTGGCAAACCGGTAAAACTAAGAAACAATTTAAAAATCAAATAAACTAATTAACCAAATTAAAATACTGTGCAGCTCGTTCTTAACCTGTCCTTTGAGGAAGATTCTCTGCCTCTGTCAGCAAGGTCACCTCAACCTTTATTCTGAATAAAATCAACATAATAGTTAGAATAAAATATGATAGAATGAAATATTTTGTGAATCGAAATTTTCCATTTTTCTAAAACACTGAATCACTTATTTAAATTAATTTTTTTATTATTTATTTTTATTTAAATTTTACATAACTTTTAACATAACTTCACAATTATGAAGCACATTATTGCTTATTACATAATCTTTTCTAACTAAATTACATAAGTAATCACAAATAGTATACAATTCAACTTAGTTACTATCTTAGAAATTTACTACGTAATCAATCTGTTTTAAAATATTCATACCCAATTAGATTATTTAAAATTTTTATAATTCCTAACTTGGATTTTTCTTTCATAGGTAATACTTTAGATTTTCTTTTGAAATATTTTAAAAATGTTTCTCTAATAGAGACTATCTGTATGCATTCACACAAATAGTATATAGTTTGCATTTTGTGCTTCACAACTACATTTGCCTGTGAAATCTCTTTAAATATTCTGGACTTTATTCATGATCCATCAGTGTTTGATTTATTCTTTTATCACTAGAGAGTCTTGTTGTCTTAACTTTAGGAAAAATCTGAAATAATTCTCTTCCAGTGTTATCATTATCCTATCGGTCTTGACATTTTTCATTTATTTCTTTTTGCAATAATGTTTTCATTATTCTATGAGATGATAGAAAAAATATCTATATTATCACTCTTAGTTGCTTCCTTCGCAGTGTTTTCTACAACTTCATTTCCCAACACTCCTGTGTGACCTTTAACCCAATTAATTTTCAAGTTATGCTTTTTTTATAAATTCTACAGTTTTATTTCTTACTTCGATTACTTTTTTAGCAAGACATTTTTTAGAATTTCTTGCTTTCAACATGCTTTGAGAATTGGTGTAAATTGATACAAAACAATTTGCCATATCATTTTCTTTTATCCCTATATCAACCCATTCCAAAGCTTTTTTAAAGGCTATCATAGATGTTAAGGTGATACTTGAAAAATAAAATTTTTCGCAAGTTGCCGTGATGAGTGTTTACATTTCTAACCAGGTTGGTTATTTTGAAAACCATGCAATCTATGTAGGTGGTGAAACCATTAAAAAAAAAAAAAGAAAAAGGAGCTGCTGCTACAGGGCCGAATATGTGGC